GAGGATCCTGGGGATGTCGCTGGTATCATTTCCCGGGGGAGGGGAGGCGCTCGGCGGCGTATTTGCAGTTCCTCTAATTTCCCGATTGGACCGTGTGTGGCGTGTTCCCCGACGCCCGGGGGGATGTTTATAAAAAGTTCCCCTCGGTTTGTTCCGGGGGGGCGGGCGCGTTGAATTAACAAAATTGCTTTGCTTGCTCGGCAAGATCAAACGGCGTCGCTCCCGGGACGCAACTTTTCCGCGCCGACTCGACACGAAGGAAAACGTCGCGTCGGGGCCGGTAATTATTCATTCGTCGTGGTCGAAACGGTGAAATAATGGGGGAGTATAATGGGAAAAATGGCCGGTCGAGATTAATGTCGTCTGCGGTTTCTTATTTTGCGGGAACGCGAGGATCCCTGACGTCGAGTATCGTAAGCCATCTTCAGGGGGGCTGCGGCGTCCTGGGAGGGGACAAGATGGCGGCGCTCGGAGGGGGAAAGCGGGGCGGCCCCTCGAGGTGGGAAAAGAAAACAGCACTCGAAACAAAAGTCTTCCCGAGGCTCGGAACAGAAATCCCGCGGTGTTCGACTTGGCGCCGAAGAAAAGAACCGGCCACGAGGAAAGCGGGGAAAGGGCTCTTGCTTTCTTTTCCCCGCGGCCGCGACAGATCGGGAAAAGAGAAGATGGCGGCGCTCGGCGAAACAGAGACGTCTGGCTGTTGTCCCCCCCGCCTCTGCGGCCCATTTTTTCCTCCTTTTGTTCCCGCCGTCCCGGCGCAACTGCATCCAGAGCCCGATCGGGAAAGGGGAATAAAACGAGTATTAAACGGGAATAGCATTCCGGCACCCTTGCAGCTGCAACCACCCGAGCACAGTCCCGACCCCTGTCGGAAAACCGGCCGAACTGCGCGCCCGCCATGGCGGAATATTTTAATTCAACCTGCGGACGATCACGCGCTAATGCGTGCACGGGGCCAAAGTAAACACGGGGTTTGGTTTGCTTTCCGGTAATTCCACTTGGTCTCTTTTCGTCCGATTTTGTTTCGCCTCCACCATTGTTTAGTTCCCCCGGCCGCCATTCCATCGACCTAGCGGAGTAAATTTTCCGTAAAACGTTAAGCCCGTACATCTTAAACAAGGTCCATTTAAGCCCGGCCATCGACCTGGGAAATAAAAGATCCCGGCTTCGAAGGGCCCAACTCGGGGGGCGTAAACGGCGCGTTTCTTTTTAAGGTCCCACCCACCACCTTCCGCCCTCTTTCCAGGAACACGCGACAACTCGGCGGCGCCTTAACGCGCAAAGCGTTTCCGCTTTTCTTTAACTGCTAACGGTATAACGCAATTGCGCCGGCCCCGAGCCGAGGACACCGTAAAAGGCTGGCCGCCGGAGGGACGCAGGGACAAATTGCACCTGAGACTCGTAAAGCTCCGTAAACTCGGACCTCTCCGGTAATCGACCGACTTCCGGTGCCTCTTCCTCCCCCTGCTCCTCCCTTTCCCTCTTACCTTTCATATCCTGCGGCGCGAAGAGATACTGCTAGAAGATCCTGTCCGGCTCCCTCGGCGGCCGAAGCACAACTGACCCTCGCGGGCCGGTGCGGCCCGAAGTGCCCCCACTCCGCGGCCCAAAGTGCCCCCACTCCGCGACCCGCAGGATGGGCCTCACCGGCAGGACGGGTCAGTCGCGTTCCGACCGCCGGAGAGGTCGGACCGAGAAATTTTAGAAGAATGTCCTCGACTCTCCGCAGCTTTAAAGGATGAAGTTTCTGGTCTCCGAGGAAAATGTGTTAGGGTTTTTCTCGGCAGCGTCGCCTGAAAAAGCGAGCTCCGGCCGTAATTAAGTCCCCATTCCCGAGACCGAGGTAAGACAGGGTTAAATAATTTAACCGGCGCTCCCGAAATAACGGGCGATGGATTTTCGATTACGTCCTTCGGGACTAGCAAGCTGCGCCGGGAATTCCGGGAACGAGGTCGTCGATTCAATATATTCCCCTGAATTAAAAGCTCCTCGGCGAGTTCGTTCACTTTTCCCTCTTCCTTGAACCCCTACCGAAGGTCCCGGTCGGCTCATCTCCCGAAGCCGAAGATTAAACGTAACGCCCTGTAACTGTACGTCTCACGGGGAGATTTTCACACGGGTGTGCAGGGGAGAGGGCTGTTTCATCGTTCCCTAATGGGCCGATTTTCGTTTCTCCCTTTTTCTCCTTCCTTTTCCGGCGAATTGCATCAACGAAAGATCACGTCGTTACGGGACGCGCTCTCCGGCGTTTCCACCCCGGGCGGAGAATTTCCCTTGTATTACCGCGACGGGGGAGGGAGGGAAACGTCCTCGCAATAACAGTAACAACAAATCCAATAACCGCCCATCCGATTTCCACGTACACCGGGCACACATGCCACTCTCGAAGCCCGTTCCGGGGAATCGCGAAAACTTGGCGGAAAATTGCACGGCTGCAAGGGAATGCCGACCCACGTGAGGACGAGCCGTCCGGGGATGTTGCAAATCGAGGAAAATTCGGGGGTGGCGTCGAGGGGTGCGTTAAAATTCCACAGGCGAAGATCCAGAGAACAGAGAAGATTTTACCTAGGAATTTCATTTTCCGTGGACCATGGGATCCGTATTATCCTTCGTGAGTATTGACACGGTTTTGTTGTTGGAACAGATTTTTGGGAGCGCCAAAAAAAAAAAAACATCCAGAGGACAAAAGCTGCTCCGAGAAACATTTCGAAATTACTCCCAGGCAATCCCTTTGATGATATTATATCCGGAAAATTGCGTATGAAAGACTCGATGCAATCGCGTTAGGTGGAAAACGTCTCGCAATGGGTATGCAAAACGCGACCGCGGTAATAACAATGAAAGGTAATGGTAATAATGCCGGGGAATCGTAGAACGGTCGAAAAGTGGTAAGAGAATAGGGGGTCAGGCTTAAAAAGAGACTCGGAGGTCGGCTTTTTCCGCTCAAATTACCGGAGAACTAAGGGCCGTCCCGGGGAAAAGCCATTACAGCTCCGCGACGCCTTGTAACTACTCCCTAAAACACGCGGAAACGTCTCACTTACAAGACGCATTTTTTCCGGGATTTTTACGAGTCCTCCTCGCGGAGATACGGCCTTCCAAAGATGCGCCGCCGTGCCGGCTTCCCCCACCACCGCGAGTGGGCGGGACCAAGTGCCTTATCACAGCGGGCTCCTATTGGTCGACTTCTAGACCGATTTGCGGGGAATCTAGAAGAGCTGGAGAAACGGTGTTTCGACACTTTTTGATACCAGTTACTTGGGGAGTTCCAAATTGCCCTCGGATCGCGGTTAGATCTTCATTCAGGTGGTTTTCAACGCTATGGTCAGGGTGGTGCCAGCAGTACGAGCGCGTAAACGTAACACGCAATTCGTTTGACGAGGTTAATCCCTCGACCGCGAAAGTGGGGTGGAAATTGCGAATGGAAGGCTTGAAATTCCGCAATCGCGTTACATGAAAGCATTCCATAATGGGTAATTTCGCGTCTCTTCGTCTACCGCGCCGCTTCGCGCTCCCTTTCTGCATCCGCCTGTCTCCCTCGCCGTCTCTCCCTCTGTCGCACGCTCTTGTCAAGAGCACGACAAGCCGGAAACGCTCGTCGGATAAACTCGTCGCGATAACAAGGAGTACGATAACGACGACGTCGACGACAACGGCGTTACGCGAAGGTAACGCGCCGACGTCCTCCTCAAGTGCGACCGTTCTTGAGATTCCCGCGAAATCTGGTGCGGCAATTCCCCTCCGCAAAATGGCGGCTATTCCGCGTCGCGGCCGGAAAGAAAAAATTGACGAGGAGTTCCAGACCCGTCGTCGACCCGGGAAATAACGACGAATTGAACCTCCTCTCTCGGGAAATACATTTCTGGCGGTGCGCTTCACCAAGTACCGATGTGTATATATATACATATGTATTTTATATATATATATATATATATATATAAAATACTCCATTCTGGCGAAAGTCGCGCGTTTACACGTCCGGTGAATTAACCGGAGGGATTATACAGGCAAAGCAGGGCGATTAAACATTTGCACGGGATGGCAGCCGGCGTAGCGAATTAATTCGCGACATGACCGATATATCGGGGGAGGCGGGGAATAAATATTAAAAAGCGTATATACGTGGGGGCACAATTCGCGGGAAATTTTATTTTTTTTTCAGAATCAAATAGAGATCCGACCTATCGATGGCCGCCTCGATAATCGAGTCCGCCCGGGCGAAAACGATTAGGCAGAAGTTCCCCCGGATGACGGACGATCCGGAGGTGCACGCCGAGGCGGATGCAATAATTAATTGATCCGTCGAAAAATATTAACCCGGCGCATCCCGGCCGTGCGATACACGTTTCCTCGGTATACACACGTCACGGATTGAAATTCCCCTCGTAACTCAATAAATGCCGTCGCGGTCCGCGACTGCAGCTGCAGCTGCACGCAGCCTGCAGCGAGCCATTTCGGACCCCGCCGCTTTCCCCCGGATCGCGTATTACAGGGCCGCGGAATTAATCGGCGTTACGGTATCACCCCGCGGAACCTCCGCAGGTGCGATAGGGAATTTTCCGCAAATTATAAGCCCCCTCCCGCCCACTTTCATAGGCAACAAATTCAAAGGAAACATCAGACGCGGCGCCAGGAGTCGAGGACGAGCCTCGGCCTGGACGAAGGATCGACCTTACAGGATTTTTTTACCTCCCCTAAGTCAGATCCATTGGTTTTATTAATTCAGCCAGATTCGGCCCCCGAACTTCGTTGCGTATAAGCTAAGTGATTCTCAGCTGTTTTCAATTCTCAGCTCGTTTCAGCAATTTTTCCGCCGCCTGGTGCGAGGGATTCGTGATAAGGGGCATCAAGAGGCAGCCGGTTAAGCCTCTTACCGGCCACTTTTTTTTTGTTTTTTTCTTTTCCCCCACTGCAGAGTGCCGCTCCGATATCCCTAGGCGGGAATTCCCGTGCGATAAGAGGACCCAATTAAATGAGCCAGAGGCTAATGAATTACTTACGATCCACTACGGTCAGCTGAGCAGTGGCGACTACGGCGTCCCCGACGCCGTTTTCTGCGAGGCACTCGAACACGGCATTGTCCTTCTGCAACCTGACGGACTCGATGCGCAGCAAGACGCCGTTCTCGTACTCGTGGACGATGTACCTGGTCTGGGCCTCTGCAAAAAGCCCCCCGGGAGAAAGAAGTGAAAATCAATCCAAGTACTCCCGGTACCTCGGGAAACTACCAAAACATCCATATCGTCTTATATTTTCGAAATCCGGCATGTATATTCATAACCGCAGCTTCCGGTGTAACGAGTAGGGGGCGAGGGGGCTCCAGGGGGGTGGCCCCTCCCAGGGAGGACGGGATTAAAAAGTTCCACGAGAGTCGCAGGAGCGATTCCCATCTGTCGTCCTTCCTGCGGGGACATTTCGGACCTTTTTATCTCCGCCCCGGTCCCCCGTCCTCCTCCTCGCCGGGACCAGGTTCCAGGAAAAGAGGACAGTTTCCCGGGAGCCGGGATCCCCTTAAGCCCCCTCTCCCCTTCCCACCCCTCCCAGGGAGTCATTTCCGAATTCCCGGGGAGAGAGACTCGTCGCTTTTCCGCCGGGGAGACTTCCCAACTTTTCGCCGACTTGAAAATTATTCAATTCCGACTTTCCTCCTGTCGGGGGGAGGGAGGTCGCCCCCTGTCCCTCGCGGGACCCGCGGGTGGAGTTAAAGTAGCGGGCGGCCCGAAAAGTGAGGTTATCTCGTCGTCTCTCCCCGATGGTAATTTCTGAAATTCTGAAATCCCGAAATTCCAGCCGGCTGGGGCGATTTTTCCCTTCTCTCCGTTCTTCGCTTTTTCTTTCTCGGGAAAAGGAAGAAGGGGAAAAAAAAAAATTAATAATTGGGCAAATCGGTTTTACTCACGTGAGAACTTTTTGCCCTTCTTCCTCCAGTAGATCTGGGGCTTGGGGGCGCCCAGGGCGCTGCAGTAGAAGCTGGCTATTCCTCCGGCCTTAACTTGCTGCGACTGCGGCCTCACGATGATTTCTGGCGGCCCTGGAAAAGCAATGGGGTGGAGGGGGGCAGGGGGAAAATTCGATTAAAGTCAGCCGACATGGTTTTCCTAGCGAGCTAAAAGGATCCTAGCTGTGCTCGCGCGCGTGCACTCGCTCGCACGCTCGCGAGATAAATCGCGGCCGGTGGCAGCCCTTCGTCTCGGCTTGCCCGGAAACTCCGGTTCCGGGAGAGGGACCGGAAGTGGTGTCGGAAGACTTCCGGCCGACCATCCCGAGCGAAACGCGCCGGTAAATTAGTCCGGGAAGTTCCGCCGCCCGTCCGCCCTCGATAGGACGGAACTTCGCTTTGATACTAAGTACCCCCGGGACCCCCCCCCGGGCGCGGGGGGTGTACACCGGTTGACCAGAGAAATTGCCGTCAATTATTTAACCGGAACCGGCCTCGAGTTATTGTAATTAATGAGAAGTTAGGCGAATCCTTCCTTCCGGCCCGCGATCGATGGCGATCGGGTCTCGTTTGATTATCCCGGGCTTTCGATTCCTTCCTCATTTATATTTTTTTTTACCCTTTCCTTTTCGTTCATTCCCCCTTTTCCAATCATTTCCGCCGCTACTTCCGGACTTTCGCAACATTTCGCCGGGATAGAAAGTCGGACGAGGGGGGGGGGATTTTTTTATTTTCCCCGAATATCGACCGGTAATGCACTCCGCTCGGCGCGGTTTCGCCGCCCCTCGAAATATGGGTCGCACGCTTTCAACGCGGAAAGCATAATTCCGCGGCCGGAAACCGCGCGCCGGGCCCTCCTCCCTCCCTCCCCCCCCCCTGCATAAACATTTTACTCCCGCATGAAAAATACATCAATTTGCCGGTTAGTATAAATAAACCAGGTTCGAATATCGTCGTCGATATTTTCACGTGGGATGCGTTTCCGTCGCGCGGATCCGAGATGACCCCGAAGATCGTCCGGAATTTTCGGCGCGGAAGGAGGAATTATTGTAAAGGGGAAATTCGGAGCTCGGCTTGGCGGGATCGATCGCGCGGAAGGACCTGTAGCTCCCGCAAGCGGCCGGATAACGTTTTCGGGCCAACGACAATGGGATTTTCTGCCGTAATGGAGGGGCCCCTACGGTACGCGGAATGGCCAAATTAAGTGCCATTTCGACGGCGTCGGTTAACGCGGCGCGATAGTCGCGATCGGGCTTATTACGCGCGGTCGGCCGCGTCGCGGTTTTCCGATAAATATCATAGGTGGAATATTTATTTATAAGGTCGCATAGGGCGCACCTGCCGCTCGGAATTGATGGCCTTATTGAAACTTATTCCGCGTGCAATCACCGCGGAGGAGGTGTAAGCAATGACGAGGTTGAAATAAATTAACTAGGGGATACGTGTGCGGACCGGGCGTTGCATTAACGCGGAAATAGGTACCGGCAAATGGTTAAGCATGCATGTATGCGGCCGAAGTGCAGGCCATTAAATTCGGCGGAAATATATTATTATTAATAGAAGCAGAGGGATCGATAGAGATCTTGCTAGTAGAGAGCCATGACAATGGTCCGACGAGGGGTGCGCTGGGACTATTACTGGGGTAAGGGGTGACGGAAATCATGGGTCGGACAATCTCTAGGGAGCGCGAGGCGGCGAGGTAAGTAGTAAAAGGCGTCTCCGCTCAGACGAGTACAACGTGGAAGCGGAGAAGGAACTACGGTTAAGTAAGTGGACGGTGAAATATTTCTTCATTATTAATTGAGGGAGGGGGGATTCGCGAGAGGGACGAGAGAGGCGAGGAAGAAGTTAGTCCGACCGAGGCGAGAAAAGGAGTGACGGAAATTACGGGACGGACAATTATCCGCGGCAAGGGAAGTAGTAAGAGGCGCGGAGGTCGAGAAGTGGAAACAGAAGTGTTTAGCCAGACGGGCGACTCCAGGGAATAAGTGGAATATTTCTTGGTTATTAATTGGAGAGGGGGGGAATTCTCCCGGGGAAAGGGAGGCGAGGAAGTGCGGACCAAGTTGGCGGTCCAAAAGGAGTGACGGAAATCAGTGTCGGGCAATTATCCCGCGGAAGTAAGAGTAGTCGCGGGTCAGCGGGGGAGGTCCCTCCTCTGGAGGTGGAGGCGTACCTCCATACCCGGACGAATAATTCGAGGGAACAGGCCGAGCGGTCGGTTATTCCACGGGGCGGAAAAACACCGCGGGGGAATAAAACGGGGCGGAAGTGGTCGCAGGAAAGAGAGCGTTCGCGTTCCGGCGTATCGGCCGTAGCCCGGGGCCGCGCGGCGGGCCGCATCCACGACAATGAAATTCATTTTGAAAATTGGCCCGCTCGCGGCTCCCATAGCGGCGGGGGTTACGGTCGAGTCCCAATATTTGTACACGGCCAACCTAAATACTCCTCCCATTAAACCTCCATTATCGCGAGGAGGGAGGGCCCGAATTTGCCCGGTTTCCGATTACCGGCCGGTACAGGGGACAAAAAGAAAATCCCGCGATCGGGGGCGTCAAAGAGCGCGGGCGCGCGAACTCCCCCAGACCCCCCGCCGCGCCACCCACCACCCACTCCCTCCCCCCGGAAACGCGCCGATTATTAAAAATACTCGGAAGGAATTAGGAGAGATTAAATTTTCACGACGAACGGCCGCGCCAGCGAGCCGTTAAAAGCTCCGCTCTCGGTTTCCGCGCGGGGGGGCCCCTTTATGAAAATGGCCCCGGCCAATTACGCGGGGGGCCCCCTCGCGCGCGCGGGCCATTTCAAATTCAACGAGCGATCCCGCAAAGCCGCCACGACGAGGGTCGATGATGATTCGCGTTCCCGATCGATGTCGGTCGCGCAATTTCCGATGGAGCCGCGACTCCACCCCCGGATATATATTCGCCCGCGGATTGTAAACGCGCCCTGCGATGGCCGCGCGTCAAATAGCGCGGTCCATGTGGGGGTGGGATGCCCCCCCATGGCCCTCCACGGGGTGGATACGCGAAACAAGACGGGCACGATCCGTCACTGATAACCGCGGCCGGCCTCGTTTAATCATTTTTGTGCGCTGACGTTTGTCCAACCCGAGTGGGAGCTTGACCCCCACCCCCCAGGCCCCTCCCCATCGCCCCTGAGTGAGATATATCGTTTCTGTTTATCATAATACGTAATATTTCTTCCGGGCGACGCGACCGTATTCAGGAGGTGATTTTCCGACTTTTCCTCTAGGTTTTCCACCTTAACTCCCCCTCCTCACGGGGGGTGGGAGCGACTCGAACTTCGTTACCCTGCCCGGGTGACGTACGAGGGGCCATAAAAAATTCATTTAATATTTCCACCTTCGCCTCAGCGTCGTTTCCAATTCAAGGGACTCGTAGAAGAGATGCCGTCCGAGCCTCCCCCCGGCCCCCCGCCCCCACCCACTCGCTATGAGGTGCCAAGTACGCGAAAATACCCCCCATTCGTCCCTCTTTCGTCCATGGACCGAGAACGATGGAGATGAGGACGGGGTGAAATTTCCAAAACCTATTTCCAATCCCACGTTACTCCCCCCCCCCTGCCAACCACCCTTGATGGGCACGCTTCCTTCGGTGGCCGAGTGCATTTAAATTGAATTAATATTTGCCGGACGCCGGGACGTGGGACGGTTTTCGATACGGCTAAAATTCGAATAAGGTCCGTGCAATTATTTATGATACCCCCCCCCCCCCCCCAGCCGGTGTACACGCTCCCCTTCTATCTCGCGTTATCGCCGCCAGAGCGCGCGCGACCTGTTTGATGCGCGGCTCCATCACGCGTTGCGTTTACAATCCGCGGTTCGTGTACACACCGGGTGGATCCAACGGAAATGAAGGGGGATTCGATTTCGCGCGTTACTTTTCACCGGGTCGGGCGAAACGCCACGCGTGAAGGAGAATGAAAAATCGGGATTGGGTGGGGAGGGGAAAGGGGGAATCGGTTAAAGGCCGGGTAGAAGGAAAGGGGAAAGTCACGTGACCGGGGGTGGGATATTAGGAGAGCCTCGAAAAGGTCCAATTTTCCGGCTGCGAGACCGATTGCGGACAATCGGGATCCCGCGGAATACCGGTGGGAGGTGGGTGGGTGGTGACAAAGGGCGGGAGGCATTTTTAATTGAATCTAGGGGATTTGCGAGAGGGCGTGCACGCGTACGGGGATTCGGTTATCCCCTCGCGTATAGACGCCGGTGTGTAACTATGTTGGCGATGGAAATATTGAAACGCGCTGTAGATGAGCCGGGGGAAAAAAAAAAGAAGAAAAAAGAATGGAGGTCTTGCGGAGGATCTGGAAATTGTACCGGTGGGTGCGTTGGGAGGAGTAATTGCGGGTAAAGGTCGAGGTGTCGATGGGGATGCGGAGAATTCTGGGGAAATCGCGACGGTCGAGGGGGGTTTTCCGGCCCCCTAGGGAGATTCTGGGGAGATTCCGCGGTGATTTGTCAGTCACGGATTATACGCTTCTAATATCCTTTAACGAGAGGGAGACAACAGTAACGACGCGAGCAGGCGCCGGCGCGAGCTCCGGCTCCGTATAATTCCCTAGCCGTCGTAAAATTTCACTAAAACGCCCGATAAACGGCAGAGCGCTGTAACCGGCTTTACCAACCCCCCCCCGCGCCGGTGTACCCCCCTTACGAGGGGTGACCAATCCAGGAGCGACGGACGGCCACGTCGAGCTGATTTATATTTAACGATATATTACGAATGCGGGGGTAATAATTAATGCCGAGCGAAATAATCATTTCGTGGGTGTCGTTATTGTTGGGCATCAGCGGGGAATCTGCCATTAAAAGAGAGAAAGACCCGCCAGCCGCGGCTTCTCGTCTGGCGTTACCCCCACCACTCGCTCGGCTGACTCCGCCCACTTGGCTTCCCCCACTCCGCGGCGCTCGCTCGGCCAATCCCCGCGGCGCTTTCCGTTGTACCGGGCCTCTCGGCAACCCGGCGCGAGGGGAAATCGCTTCGAACTCGTTTTCCGCGCGTGATTGGGCCGCCGCAAACCCGCGCCGGGTTTCCGCGTTGCGATTTACGCCCGCGTGTGGGGTTATA